GGAGGTGGACCCCGAGGACGAGAAAGCCATCGAGATGTTCATGAACAAGAACCCGCCGCTGAGGTGAGGAGGGGGCTGCACCGGGGCAGGGACCCCGACTGAGCCCGGTCCGGTGTCGGCCCCGTGCGACCCCCGACTCACCCCTCGTCCTGTCCCAGCCCCTGACTCAATCCCTGTCTCACATCAACTCCCAATTCACCCCCATTGTGTCATCCCCCGGCGACCCCCGATTCTCCCCCTGGTCCCGTGTGGGCCCTGCACAGACCCCAGCTCGCCCCCGTCCCTTGTCAGCCCCCGACTCGCCCCTGTCCCCTCCCTGGTCCCCCAGTGACCGTGTCCCATGCCGGCCGCAGGCGCACCCTGGCCGATATCATTATGGAGAAGATCACGGAGAAGCAGACGGAGGTGGAGACGGCGCTGTCGGAGCTCTCAGGCTGCCCCATGCCCCAGCTCGACCCCCGTGTCCTGGAGGTCTACAGGGGCGTCAGGGAGGTGAGGCCAGAGCAGCCCAACCCGCAGCCACCACCCTGAGGTGCTGAGGGAGGGGACAACGCGCTCGTGTCCCTGCTGTCACTGCCCCCTGTCATGTCCTGGCCCGTGTCCCTGTCTTTGAAGGTGCTGTCCAAGTACAGGAGTGGGAAGCTCCCCAAGGCGTTTAAAATCATTCCTGCCTTGTCCAACTGGGAGCAGATCCTCTACATCACTGAGCCAGAGACATGGACAGCTGCTGCCATGTACCAGGCCACCAGGTAAGGTCACTTCAGGGACCCTCTGGCATGGGATTTTTTGGGGTTTTTTTTCCCCTGTTTGGCCTCCTTTCCTCATCCATCCCTTCATGCTTTGTTGTTGCCAGGATATTTTCCTCCAACCTGAAGGAGAGGATGGCCCAGCGGTTCTACAACCTGGTGCTGCTGCCGCGGATCCGGGACGACATCGCCGAGTACAAGCGGCTCAACTTCCACCTGTACATGGCTCTGAAGAAGGCTCTGTTCAAGCCAGCGGCCTGGTTCAAGGGTAGGGGTCCTGCAGGGTCCCCTCTGGGGCTTGGCTGGGTACCTGGGGGGCTGTTGCATGGCAGGGACCCTCCAGCTGCTGCTGCAAGAGTGATGATTTCCTGGGCTCGGGGAGAAGGGGCTGAGCCCCAGGGCTCTGATTGTGGATGAAGGTGGTCAGTGCCTGACTGTCCCCATTCCCAGGGATCCTCATCCCGCTGTGTGAGTCCGGCACCTGCACGCTCAGGGAGGCCATCATCATCGGCAGCATCCTCAGCAAGTGCTCCATCCCCGTCCTGCACTCCAGGTGAGGCCCTGAGGGGCTGGGGGGGAGCAGCTTCTCCTCCAGGGACCCTGGGAAGTGCCTTGGATCCATCCCTCAGCCTCTCCAGCCCCTGGGAGGTGGTGAGGGGCTGCTCAGCTCCCTCTGGGGTTGAGATTCAAGGCTCAGCTTTGTGCCTGAATGTCTGGTGCTCCATGGCTCCAGTCTGGTTGCCCCTCCATCCTTGTTCACTGTGGCTGTAGCCTGGTTCCTCTCATGTCCATTCCTTGGTCCCCATGACTTCAACCCAGCACCCCCTGACCCTTTGCCCATTCTTCTGTCCCCATGGCTCTGTCCCCTGACCCTGAGACCCCCATGCCTGTCCCTCAGTTCCCATGGCTCCATGCCCTGACCCTAAGTCTCTTCCTGGTCCCTTTGGCTCTGCCCTTGGTCCCCATGGCTCCAGCCTGGCTCCCCCTGGCCCCCCACCCCCTTCTGTGTCCCCTTGGCTCTGTCCCCTGGCCCCAAACCCCCTCCTGTGTCCCTGTGGCTTCATGCCATGACCCCTCACCTCTCCTGTGTCCCCGTGGCCCTGTCCCCTGACCTCTCTGTGTCCCCATGGCTCTGTCCCCTGACCTCTCTGTGTCCCCGTGGCTCTGTCCCCTGACCTCTCTGTGTCCCCATGGCCCTGTCCCCTGACCTCTCTGTGTCCCCATGGCTCTGTCCCCTGACCTCTCTGTGTCCCTGTGGCCGTGTCCCCTGACCTCTCTGTGTCCCCGTGACCCTGTCCCCTGCCCTCTCTGTGTCCCCGTGGCTCTGTCCTCTGTCCCCTCACCTCTCTGTGTCCCCATGGCCCTGTCCCCTGACCTCTCTGTGTCCCTGTGGCTCTGTCCCCTGACCTCTGTCCCCGTGGCTCTGTCCCCTGACCTCTCTGTGTCCCCATGGCCCTGTCCCCTGACCTCTCTGTGTCCCCGTGGCCCTGTCCCCTGAGCTGTCCCTGTCCCGCAGCGCGGCGCTGCTGAAGCTGGCTGAGATGCAGTACAGCGGTGCCAACAGCATCTTCCTGCGCCTGCTCATCGACAAGAAGTACGCGCTGCCCTTCCGCGTGCTCGACGCCCTGGTCTTCCACTTCCTGGCCTTCCGCACGGACCAGCGGCTCCTGCCCGTGCTGTGGCACCAGAGCTTCCTGGCCTTGGCCCAGCGCTACAAGGAGGACCTGTCCTCGGAGCAGAAGGAGGCCCTGCTGGAGCTGCTCAAGTTCCACAGCCACCCGCAGATCTCGCCGGAGATCCGCCGCGAGCTGATGAACTCCAAGACGAGGGACGTGGAAGGGGAGCAGCCAGTGGCCATGGAATGAGCAGGGAAATGCTGGAGCCTGGCCTGCCCTCGGGACACTGCTGGGATCCTGGATCAGGAGTGTCCTTCCTGGATCACTCACTGGGAACAGACTGTGCCCACAGAGCTGCACCAAGCGCCCTGTGCAGCCCCTGTCCCACCCAGGAGCCCGGTGCCACCAGCACTGGGACACTTTGGCTTGTCCCTGTACTCAGAAATAAAACCAGAGCTGTGTCAGCCAGTCAGGGCTGGGTCTGCCCAGCTTAGTCCCAGCCTGTCCCTGTCCTCACCAGCTTCTGGAGCTCCTTGTCCAGGGCTTTTCCCAAACACCCAAAGCCCCTCAGGGTTGAATTCCTGAAGCTGCAGTGCCACCATTCTCACCTGGCCATGAGGGCACCTGCCTGGCCTGCTCCTGGCACTGTGCCCAAGTGCCAGCTCTGCTGCAAAACCCAGGGGGGACTTTCCCAGGAGGCTGCACTTCCCTGGGCCCTGCTGCCACTGCCAGGCCTGTGCCTTGCAGCTTTGGGCCACGGCGAGGAGCCCCTGCTGCACCCTGGGCTGTGCCAAGGGTGGCTGCCTCCTGTCACCTCCCATGGCAGGAGCGGGAGCTGGGTCCCCACACACCACCGCCTCTTCCATGACTTCCCCATTTTCTCTTAAGCCAAAAGCTGGTGGCACAAGAGGGAGCCTGGGCTGGCACAGAGCACCTGGCACTCCTGAGCTGCTCCAGTGCCCACCACCCTCCAACCTGCTGGGAAGAAGGTGCTGCCTCAGCTCCGGCAGCACCTCACCTGCAGGAAGGTGTCTGGCTCCATCACCATCCCTGAGCTGCCCTGGGTGTCCCTCAGGGTCCTGCCTGCCCTGTTCCATCCTGGGAAGGAACCTTGGAATCCCAAGGGAGCACCAGGGAAAGATCTGAGCCCTGGGAACGGCGCAGGGAAACCCTCGAGCCACTGGGGTTTTTTTTTTGTTTAAAATATTTTATTGCAACATCACGGGGTTCTCTGGCTCTCCCAGCAGCGGGACTCATGCGAGTGAACACCAAAACCAGTTTACTCTTAAATTAAAAACTCATTTATATATATATATAAAAAAAAGAAACACATTTCCTTTTGCACAGCCAGGCTCTGTCCCAGCCCTCCTGCTCGCAGGAGGCAGCGGCTCCGTGGGTTTCCGGACCAGGCAGGCTCAGGGAGGAGCAGCAGCCCCACCTTTTTCCGCCGGATTTTTTTTTGTGGCTGGTGGCATCCAAAAAGGAAGATTTCTACCTCATTTTCCACATCCCCCACCGGAGGACAACAGCCACATGTCCAAAGGTTTCCCAGGCAGCAGCAGCATCTGCCTCCCGTCGCTGTGGAGTCTCCGGCTTCTCCTGGTTAATTCCACTCTGTAATGGTTTTCTCATAGAAAAGCAGCATTATTTTTTTTTTTTCTTCCCTGTTTTACAACAATTTTTATAAAAAACTAACAGGATCAACAACAACAATACAAAAATGCAGTAATTGCTTTTCCAACTCAAGTGCGCAGCAAAGTTTTTCCACCCTCTCAGGAGGCAACTCAGATCCACCTGGATGAACACAGCCCCCTCCTGAGCGTAATCCGAAATCCCTGCCCTGGAAAGAGTGGAGATGCACCCCAGACTATAGCAGCACATTCAAAGGTTTTCCTTAAATCCTAGTCTGATGCCTAAGCTACCAAAGGACCCAGCAGCCTCCCAGGAGAGTCTCCCACTGCCCAGGGAGCCAGGGAAGGGGCGAAGGGGGAAGGCACTTTTTTGGGAAGGAGAGGAGAGTGGCACCTCACCCCGAGGAATCCCAGCTCTCCTCCCTCCCCATTTCCCAGCAGTGAACAATAAATTAAGCAGCCTCCGTGGGCCGGCGGAAAAGCCGAGGGGACGGCGCCCGACCCCGAACTCCTCCCAAGGCACGGACGGGGAGCGCGTCCCCAAAATCCCACATCCAACAGCAAAAACAAACAAGCCCCACAAGTCCTTTCCAAGCAGAAGCAGCTGCACGACTTCCCCAGGAGCTGTGGGGATGTGGCACGAAGCAATGGGGACTGAGGGGCCACCAAGCAGCTGCTCCACGAGCCCCGCAGGAGCTGGCAGTGACGAGGATTGGGGTCCTGCAGGGCTGGCTCCCCATGATTTTTGTCCCTCACAGGGCTGAAGTCACCGCCAACAGCCCAAAGAGCCAGGGAACACCAACACAGAAACAATTCCAAATTCATCCAGGCTCCTGCTCCCTGTCCCCAGCATTCCTGTGGCTTGGCACCACCTCGGTCACTCCCCCCCGGCCACCTGCAGCAGCTCCGAGCTCGGATCCCGCTCCACATTCCCAGCCTGGGAAGGGCCCCTCGGAGGTGCTGGGTGGGCAGGGGGGATGCAGCGAGCTGGGGGTGTCCAGGGAGGGGCCGGAGTTCTGGGGAAGGGCGGTTGGTCACAGGTTGACGTCGGTGACGTCCGTGGGGGTGCTCGTGGGCTGGCTGCCCCCGTACGCCGCCGTCTTGGAGCTGAATTCCTGCTGGGATTGGGATGCCTGCTTCAGGCTCTCGGCTAAGGCCGCCTCGATCTGCTCCTGACAGGCCTTCAGGCAGTCCTGGAACAGGGAAACACACAGGAGCCATCAGATCCCTGCTCCTCAGGGCTGGGAGCTTTAGGAAAAGCTCAGAGCACCTGCTGGGCTGCGCCTCTGACCCCCCAGAGCATTTTTTCCAGAAAAAGGAGATTTTTCTCCATCAGCTTGTCCCTCCCCAGGCAAAGCCCCACACTCTGGTTGTCCTCCTCCCACCTCCCTGCTGACCCCATTCTGCAGGAATGCTGTGTCCAGCAGAGCTTCCCCAAGTCCTGGAGCCAGGGTGTGTCCAGCGTGGCAAGGGCAGGGCAGCTCCGCACAGCCCAAACCTCCCCCATCCCAAAAACACGGCTGTCCCTGGATCCCCCTCCAGCTGCAGCCCAGCTTTCCCACAGCTCGGGGTGATCCTGCAGCAGAGCCGGAATTCTGCTGGATGCCCCTGAGGCAGCAGGACCCTCCCTGCCCCAAAATCCACCCTACACCCCCTCCCACCCACGCTGGGAGAACGGTGCTGTGGCTGCCGAGCTTCTCACAAGGTTTTCACCCTCCTGTCCCCTCTGTGACACCCCCCAGGGGACCCTGAGCTGGGGGACACGCACAGGAAGGCGCAGGGGGCTGCCAGCAGCAGCAGCACTTGCCACAAATGCAAACCCTGCTCTGGTTTTTCCCCCACGAGCTGTAGGCAGAGGAGGAAACTCCCACTCGGACACAGCCCGGCTCAGCCCGGTGGCAGTTTGCACCTCACGGGACATTGTCACACCCGAAATCTCTTACCAGGAATCCGCCAGCGCTTCTTAGAAACTGACAGAGGATGTGGTGAGTGAAAATAGCAACGCCCAGCTCCCCTTCCCTGGCTCCCCATCAGCACAGCTCCTCCTGCCCCAGCCCTGAGTGCCACGGACACCTGGACAGGGGCTGCCCATCACCATGGACACCTGGACAGGGGCTGTGCACCACCATGGACACCTGGACAGGGGCTGTCTGTCACCATGGACAGCTGGACAGGGGCTGTGCATCACCACGGACACCTGGACAGGGGCTGTCTGTCACCATGGACACCTGGACAGGGGCTGTCTGTCACCATGGACACCTGGACAGGGGCTGTGCATCACCATGGACAGCTGGACAGGGGCTGCCCATCACCATGGACAGCTGGACAGGGGCTGTCTGTCACCATGGACACCTGGACAGGGGCTGCCCATCACCATGGACACCTGGACAGGGGCTGTGCATCACCATGGACAGCTGGACAGGGGCTGCCCATCACCATGGACACCTGGACAGGGGCTGTGCACCACCATGGACACCTGGACAGGGGCTGTGCATCACCATGGACACCTGTCTGTCCATCACCAAGGACACCTGGACAGGGGCTGTCCATCACTATCCTGGGCTCTCCATCACCATCCCCAGCTGTTCAGCACCATCCCTGGGCTGACCATCTCCATGGCCAGACCATCCCAGGGCTCTTCCAGGTCTCCACCAGCAATTCTGGCTGAGATGCCAAAGCCAGCCTGGCCATACCCAGCCAGGCTCCTGCTGGCCATGGAGCTGGCCCAGCCCTGCAGCAGCATCCCTGCATTCCCAGCACTGCCCAGCTGGGCCTGGGAGCTGCAGGAAGGGGATGGCTCCTCCAGAAGGGAAACTGAGTCACAGCCTGGCGACTGTGTCTCGGCTCAGGGAGAAGCAGCAGCACCACAGGAGGGGGAGGCTGAGCCCAGGTGCTCTCCCAGGAGCCCCAAATTCTGTGTACACAATCCAGGAGGAGCTGTTTGTGAGGCACCCCACACCTGGGCAGGGAGCACAGCAGATGCTGGGGAGGGACAGGAGGGTGCTGGGCTCCATTTCAGCTCCTCTCCCTCCACAGAACCCTCCGTGCTTCCCACCTGTTCCCTGCACAGCCCCGACCTCGTGGAGCAGGTTGGGAGCAGGTGGCTGCACTGATTTCTCTCTTTAAAAAGGAGAACAAAAAAATTCCATCTGCACAAACGGATCGGGAGCCTCCCGCCCGGACAAAGCCCCGTGGCAGCCACCCCCTCCCCTGATCCAGCTCCTGTAACTGACCTGGGCAGGGAGGACATCAAAGGGGAGAGGAAAAGCTCCCGACTGGAGTGACCTGTGGGATCCCCGTCCCTGCTCCGAGGGTGGCGGAGGGGCTGGAGAACCCCCCCATCCTGATGTCCCTAAACTTGGAATGTTTCATGTCCCAGCCCCCTTTCCCCCCCCAGCCAGGGCACCTGCAACCGGACACTGAGGGCAGCAGATGCCGAGCCCGACGTGTCCCTGTCCCCATCCCAGGCGGAGAACCCGATCCTGTCACCACCTGCCCGGCCGGGAACAGATCCTGCCCTTTGTGTGCCATTTCAAAGGCTCCGAGCCCAGCCCGCCCTGCCAGGGGCTGTGTTTGGGATCATCCCACAGCCCTTGCTTCTCCTCAAACCACTCTGGACAGCGCAATTCCACCCAATCCCAGAGGAGCTGGGGCTGGAAGGGCCCTCTGGAGCCCATCCCTGTGCCTGGCTGCCCATCACCACGGCCAGTCCATCCCAGGCTCTCCCTCCTCGTGGCCACCCGCAGCAGGTGACACGGGGACACATCCAGGTCAGAGGCTCCACACCCTCCCCTGTCCCACCCTCCATGGGAAATCTGAAGAAGGGAGGATCCCAGCAGCTGGAATTCCCGGTGTCCACTCACCACCTCCGTGCCCGTGATCCCGGCCAGCAGCTCCGTGATGGCCTCGCCGCTGAAGCCGTTGAGGGAGAGGCTCAGGCCGTGGATGGCGGCTCCGATGCTGCCCGTGGCGATCATGGACGGGGGGTACATCACAAAGGTGTAGTCTGGAGCCAGCACAGGGACACGAGCGGGGAAGGAGCCGTCAGTGAGGACGCAGGGGGGGTTTGGGAGAGGGATTTCCCCTGGGGAGCTCGGGAGGGTCTCGCAGAAGGTGGGGAGAAACTGGGATGGAGGAGCACGGAACAGGCTGAGCACCAGGGCCAGGCCTTCAGGAGAAGTCCTGGGATGAGGTGGCTCCAGAGGCTGAGGGAGAGGCCGAGAAAAGTTGGGATTGAACCCTGGGCAGCCTCCCACAGGCACAGCAAGAGGCTGGCACACCTCTCCTGGCATCTAAGAGCCCCCAAGAGCATTATCCCGCCCTGAACGGCTCTGACTGCAATGAAGGCAGGCACCCAGCTCCCAAAGAAGGTGGGGAGCCCATCCCAGGTGTCCCAGCACCCCTGGGCCCAGCCCAGCACCCACCTGTGGCACAGAGGGCGATGAAGGTCTGCGCGTGTTTCTTCACCAGCTCCGCCTTGTCGGCGGGCAGCGGCAGCCGGTGCAGGATGTGAGGCAGGAAATCGTTGGCAATCACCGACACCAGGTCCCACTTGAGCTTCTCCAGGACCAGCAGCTCCCAGTGCTGCGGGGTCAGCGGGGACAGGACGTTATGGGATGGCTCAGGAGGCTCCGGGGCCAGCGCAGGATGGGGAAGGGCAGGAGGGGCTGTCCCCACAATTCCAGCCCTGGGCTGCTCAGAGCCGGGAGCAGAGCAAAAAATGTGGATTTTGCTTTGCAGGGATTAGCCCTGGACACTGCTGGCTTTGCAAGGTGCTGTGAGAGCCCAGGGAGGGAAACCCGGGGCAGGGACAGAGGGGAACCCGGGGCAGGGACAGAGGGGAACCCAGGGCAGGGACAGAGGGGAACCCAGGGCAGGGACACCATTCCCAATCCCTTCCCCA